GCCCCTTAAATTTCTCCTTTGTTGATGATGGTCACTTTTACATGCAATCATTGATTCAAGATGCTCCCAGCTTGAATTGCCTCTTATACACTACTGGAAATTCTAAAACGTCCGGCCCGCTTTTTCAGTACTGCACACAAAAGCAACAAATATATATACCACTGACGGAGCCAGGGGGTGGCCAGCGGGGGCCATGCCCCTCCCCTCAAGGTTGCTGATTTTTTTTACCCTCCTGCTGTAGTTTGTTTCTGTTGGATCCAACTAATTTGATCGCTTGCTTTTACTTACATGGGCTTGCGTTGCTTTTACTTACATGGGCTTGCGTTAGTTGGACCTGGTTGCTAGTGTCGTGAGGCCCAGGAACCACGCAACTCGTCCGCTCGGCACCCACGAGTCAAGTTTCACGGAACGGAGACGGAGCACCCTTCATCGCTGCCTTTGCCTCCTCGTCTTCTCAGTCTCGTACCTCAAAAGCTAAATCGATTCCCCAATTCAGAAATAAAAAATCCCTAATCCTGGAGGCCTCTTCACTCTTCCCTACCGCACAACCGCATAGCTGCACAGTGCAACAGTGAGTCTGCGACGAACAGGGAGCCCAACCAGGCTACGAACTACAATTCTACAAAGACCAATCCCTACGAGGCAATCACGCTACTACATAATGCTTAATGGAGACGAGCATTACAACCACCTCTAATCAAAAGTCATTGTTAATGGGATCTATGGAGGTGTCCACCTCCGTTAATCACATTAACCGTGCCCGCCTCCATTAATGTTCTCCAAAAACCTCAAAAAGACAGTCATCTTAACATGCCCGCCTCCGTTAATGTTCTCCAAAAAACGTAATGTTCTCCAGAAAACCTAAAAACCAAAAAAAATTCAGACTTTGGAGAGTCGAACCAACGACCTGCTGATCAACACTTTTGTCTCTACCACTACATCACACACTCATTTGTATCTATATATAATAAATATGCTATCTTTTTATATCAATATTTCGTAATCTTGTATTGAATATTTTGGCTACTAAATGAACTCAAAGGAAAAAACTTTTAACCACAAAGTTTTAAATCATGTCAAGTACTAAGTTTGGTATAGGATGTATCTCCATCAAAGATAGTTTTAGTTTAAAAAATTCAAAAATTTGTGTCTCAAAACATGTGAATTTCAAACACATATTTGAGACTATCGATGACTTTAAATCAAAAACTTGTCAATATCAAGCATTTATATCAGGTCGGCCACTAGAACTTTGGTATTAACTATGTGAACATTTCAGATCGCTTAGGAATTCTAAAATTTAAATATCAAAATGTATAACCTTCGAACATATATTTGGAACTCTAAACATCTTTAAATTAAAAACTTTTCAACTAAAAAGTTATAGATTCTATTGAGAACTATAACTTTTGTATAGATCATGTCAATATCCGAGATCATTTGATAATTTTAAATTTCAAATTTCAAAATTTGTGCACTTACAACAATATTTTGGGACACTAAACTGTTTAATTCAAAAACTTTTGAACTACAAAGTTGTAGATCTCGTGGAGAGCTACAATTTTAATATAAAGTTTGTCTTCATCCGAATTCATATAAAAAGGTTATGATTTATTTTTGTTGCAATCATTAACCGAGGCGGATCTGTACATCGATTTACGTCCCCGAAAATAATCGATTAACGGAGGCGGTCGTCTTAAGTTGCCGGTCTCGGTTAATTGATTAATAGAGGCGGTTGCCTTATGTCGACCGCCTTGGTTAATCAATCTACATTACGGAGGCGGACGCCTAATGCTGTCCGCCTCTATTAAGCATTAACCGAGGCGGGCGCTCGGCCGGCGGCCCTGCCACCGATTAATGGAGGCGGCCGCCTAGGCTGCCCGCCTAGGCTGCCCGCCTCGGATAATAAAATAGTACTACCTCGTAAAATCTTTTATGTAGTAGCGTCAGTGAGGAATGATATAGGTAACTTAGTGATAATTTATAAAATCATTTTTGTTTGATTAATCACTTTTATTTAGTTCAATTATGATTGTACTTGGCTGGCCCCTCCTACATAGAATTCCTGGCTCCGCCACGTACTGTATATAAAGTATGTTGTTGAATGTTGACACACTGGGTATAAGAAACAAAGTGAGCAAAGTTTTAATCACTTTTGGCAAGTGCAGTGTGCAGAAGTGGAGGAGATGAGAATCCTACTATTCTGTATACTGATGAATGATCATAATAAAGAGGTATCTACGCGAGATGGAATAATCAAGCCAGGGAAAAAGTGATTATTCGTTTACGTCATTATTTGGTCTAGAAGAATATATCTATCCATGATGACTAGGGCTCGAAGCATAACAGAATTTCCGGTGGAGTGTAATAAGCAACAGGCCCGGCCCTGGGGCGGGGCGGGAGGGGCAGGCGTCCCAGGCCCAGGTTGCCGATGGGCCCCTCCCCAGGTATGCATACAGTACTAGTACTACACAGCCCAAACATACGCAAGAGCAGAGTCCAATGAATCGACGACACCGGTGATACGCATTCAGCATCCGCGTGAGTCGCGCACTCGCGCCCCTTCCTTTCCTTGGAGTTTTACGGTTGGACTTCCTTTCCTCCTACGTGACTAGCGACCCAGCGAAGCGAGTCGCCGCCCGCCCGCCGGCCGGGCAGTCCGCGCGACTGCGCGCTCCGCCGCACCGCTCTCCATGTCCGCACGTTGGCGTGATCTGCTGCAGATCATCTGCATAGGACGTGATGAGGCAGGCAGCAGATCATCTGCATACGACTGAACTTCTGAAGCTGAACGTGATGCACTGAACCGCATTGGTACGAATCAATCTCTGTCCTATTCCTATCTCTTATGATCCCTAATTCCCTACTCTCTAATCATAGGGCGTGATTCAGATTTCAAACACCTGCGAATTGGGATTTGCAAATTGCGATTTAATTGAGTATTCAAATATTCAATGTGCTAGGCACTTGACTCCCTAAGGTAGTGTATAATTGCTTAGTCTTTGTGAATTTTCTATTTGTATAATTGTTTAATTTTTGACTAATTGTTTCTCTAAATTTTATTTGATATAGACTTTGCTTTTGCATTCAATTAACTGTTTATTTGTAACATTTCGTATATGTGTGTGTATATATATATATACTAGCAATGAATGGTACTAGTAGTATTATCGTTATCATATTTTTATATAAAAGGGCCTAAATTTTAACTTCGTTCTAGGTCTAAAAAACTCAGGACTAGCCATGTAAGCAACGGAATATATACATACGATGCAATTGATATATACATGGATTGCGATTTGCATGCCAGTCTTGTGCTCCATCAAGAAATTAAAGGGAGTTGCAATGTTTCAGGTGCCTGAATTTTCAGTCACAACCAAGAACCAGCTACTGCATTATACAATTATAAAATGATAATTCATAACTTTTTTCTATATATAGTCCAGCAATGACAAAATTACATTAGTGACCTCAAATATAAGAGAAGTGAAAGTTAAAAGTATAATTTGAATTGAAAATCAACAGGCCATCTACAAAGATATGGATAGTGGGTTGGAGGGAGGTCATACAAAGGGAATATTATGAATGCAAGCCCTGGTGTCCAGTGCCCGAACGAGCTACCGTTGAATTGAACCGTTCTGGGCAATTTCCTTTCGGCGTCGCTTCCATTACTTGATATAAGTTCATGTGGTCGGAACCTACTAGTACTATCCAGTTTATCCAAGCACCTATTTCTGGGCCGGACTGCCTTCTTCTGCCGCTACCAAATTGTGACCAGCAGAAAAGAAGGGTTTGATGTTGGCACTGGTCCTGATCGGAGATGCAGAAACTGGCATGCCCCAACCTGCAGATTGTGCATAGTAACCCATTGGAAATTGTGCTTGTGCATAACAACATTGGAATCCTTTGTTGGGCTGGGCAGCTATATTAATAGACCGTGATGATATTATGATAACAATTTGCTAGCAGCAATGCATTGATCAAAGGCCGAGGCGCAGGACGTGAACGTCTGCTGCTCTCAGCTTGCAACACCCAGACGCCCAGGGCCAGACCACCTTATTCACATCTACACTGCCGCGCACGCACGGCTGATCGAATCCGGCCGGCGATGTCGTGTCATGTCATCGATCACACGACGCGGCGGCAGATGGTGACGCCGTCGGCGACGGCGAGCTGGCAGACCTCGACGCGCGGGTCCGCCGCGAGGCGAGCGTTGAGGTCTCGAACGGCGGCGGAGAAGCGGCGGTCCAGGTCCGACATCGGCGCGTCGGGCGGCAGCGCCACGGTGCCGTCCCACAGCGTGTTGTCGTACACGATGGCGCCGCCGAGGCGCACCAGGCGGAGCAGCTGCTCATGGTACCGCACGTAGTTGGGCTTGTCGGCGTCCACGAACGCGAAGTCAGAAGGCGCCGTGGTTGGCGTCGTCGGCGAGCAGCGCGTCCAGGCGCTCCAGCGCGGGGCCTCACGGAAGTCCACCTTGTGCCCCACCCCGGCCTTCTCGATGAAGGGGCGGCCGAGCTCGTAGTACTCGCGGCTCACGTCGATGGCGACCACCTTCCCGTCGTCGGGCAGCGCCAGCGCCGTGGCCAGCAGCGAGCAGCCGGTGAATACGCCCACCTCGATGGCGTTCCTGGCGCCGCTCAGCTTGATCAGCATCCGCAGCAGCTACGCCTCGTCCGGGGCGTCGCCATGTAGCTCCTGCGATGTGCGATCACACTCACACGCACAGGTTACAGTCTTACAGAGCGAGAAGAAGAGCAGGAGCTCTGCATAAAGCTGCGTCGGCGGCCGGGGCAGCACGTACGTACCGCTCGTGCTTGTCCGTGAGGAGGCGCAGCTCGCGCATGCACTCCGGCTCGTTCGGCAGCACCGTCGTGTCCAGGATGTACTGCACGCACGCACGCACGGCGATCAGCCGCCGGCGACGACGTCAGTGCCATGATCATTCGGTCAGCGACCTTAATTGTACTGGTTGTCGGCTTGTCGCGTGATTACATTACCTTGTACAGGGCTTGGCTCTTGAGCAGCGTCTTGTTGCTGCTGTCGGTGTTGCTGTGGACGTCCGGGATGCTGCCGCCGCCGCCGGTCGCCATGCCAGGATCCATCGGCGCCTACCCCAGCTATACCCTGCCCTGCTAACCCAATGCCTTGCAGCCTTGCTGTCAATGCTGTGTGTATATATAAAACCTTATCGCCGTCGATAGGAATGGTGTGCTGGATGCCACAATCTCCTTGGTAGCCCGGGGCATTCGGTATTACCGAACCGAACCGAACCGATTACTCGGTACTTCGGTTACCAGGGACATCGGTACCGCTCGGTTCTTCCGAAGAATCGGTACCGACCGAATTCGGTTTTGGTTAGTTCGGTTCAGTTCCGGTTCCGACCGAACTAACCGAACCAAGGTGCAGTGCAGCGCAGGGGCAGCGCAGGGACTCCTGCAGGCCGCAGGCGGCCAGGCGCAGCGCAGGTTCCTCGGTTTTTTTCAGTTCTGCAGGTGGAGAACTGGACGGGAACGGGAGGCGGCTCGGGGAACTCTCAAGGAGAAGCAGACGAGGCTCGGTTCCTCGGTTTTTTCGGTTAACCGAGGGGAGTAACCGAATTAACCGAGCAAAGTTCGGTTCCTACGAAATGAGAACCGAACAGGGAACCGAGATTTTGGTTCTCGGTAAATTCGGTCGGTTCTCGTTTTTTTCGGTTCGGTTCTCGGTAAAATTTGCCCAGGGCTACTACTTGGCTCCCATTTTAAAATCTTGGTCTCTTTGGGTGCGCGCTACACACCCTACTCCATATCGATAATGATGATTTCTCCATTAGAAAAAGGGTAATGATGCCTCGAACTTGGACGTGTTTCGTTGCTAGGCCTGGGCGTTCATTTAGACCGAACCGAACTCATCGGTTCCTCGGTTTTTATGAAACTTCGGTTACCAGAAATCGTGAACTGATCGGTCTCGGGTAGTTCGGTTTCGGTCCCGGTCACGACTGAACTCGGACCCTTTTTGTTTCCAGCCAATTCACACATTCAAATCAAGAACAACACACAAAGAGGACCAAAGCAGCACAAAACAACAAAAAATTAGTGAGGCATGTATGTAGTCTCTGCATGGACGAATCACTTTCAAGCCAAATCACAGCACATATCAACAAAAAAGAAGCACTTGAAGGAGATCTGGCCGCATCGTCCTCGACTCCTTGTTGTCAATGTTGTGTATATAATTATATATATAGAAATGGTGTGCTGGATGCCACAAACTTCTTGGCTCAAATTTTAAAAGCTTGGTCTCTTTGGGTGCTCGCTACATGCCCTACTCCACTAGTCCTCTATGTATAGATAATGATGATTTCTCCATTAGAAAAAGGGTAAGAATGCTTCGAACTTGGACGTGTTTGGTAGCGCTCCGTGAGCAGCTTCGCATGAACGCCAACCAAACGCCCTCCGGCTGCTCCGTTTCAGTGGAGATTCCCCACGAATCACGTTGAGAGAAGCGAGGAGAGACAGGAGAAGCGGAAAATAATAGCTTTGACCGGCACTCTCTTGATAACTTAGGTCTGGCCAGCAGGAGATGCCCGATTTGCCCTGACGAGGCAAGGCCGGCGTTGCATAGCGCAACGGCGATGCGGGTCGGGAGAGGAGCTCTGGCCACATAGGGCCACACCTGCTCGTGGATCAGTAGCGATGCGAACATCAATGCATCAGGCACGTTGAATCCTAGGTGTGCTCTTCTTGGCCTCCGGTGTGGGGCTCGTGCTCTTCTTGGCTTTGGTGCGGGGCTCCTCCTCTGTGTGGCCATGTGGGAGGGAATAAAAGATGGAGAGAGAGAAGGAAAAAAAGGTATGATGGACATTTGACTCTTTTCAACGGCTAGGAGAAGCTGTTTTACCAAACATTTTTCTAACAAGTAAAGCTAAAGCTATAAAAAACTTGTTAGTGCGAAATTTGACCAACAAGTAAATATTTATAGTTTTGCCGTGCGTTGTGATCGGATGGGCCTAGCACTCAATGACACAGGATTTATACTGGTTCAGGCAACGTGCCCTACATCCAGTTTCTGTCGGTCGGTGACTTTATTCCTGAGCCCAGGTGCTCGAAGTTTGCTGTGGGGTTACAAACGAGTGAGAAATGAGAATGTGGTGTTAGAGGTCCGGTCGGACTCTGAACCGAATGGACGAGAGTGACGGGTGCTCTAACGTGCACTAAGTATTGGAGCGTATGCTCTGTGTAGCTGTCGAGTTCTAGAGCTGCTGAACTGTTCGAGTCCTCAGGTCGTCGAGTACTTGAGTCGTCTAGCCTCATTTCTCCCGAGAGAGCCAGCAATTAGGAGAGAGCTCATCCCTTCTTATAGTTGAAGGAGATGTCCTTATAAGTCAGAGAGAGAGAGTGTGTGTGTATACATGTGCTACCTAGTCTTGTTGCCCACGCTGTCGGGTACGAGACAGTTATTGACACCCACAATACTGTTTATGTTCAGACGCATCTGGCAGACTCTACCGTGTTCGCCTGGTACGGCAAATGTCGGCGCCTACAATATTGTTTGTGCTCTGACGCGTTTGGAAGGTTGTATAGTGCCCGTATAGCATGGCCTGGTGGTACCGTCCTACAGGTGCATAGGGCATGGCAGGGTATGGTCCTCGGTATTACGGTTGACTTGAGCGCCTTACCTTATCTGCTCCGCCTGATCCCCGGGCCCTCACCGAGCGGGCATCCCTGGTCAGTCGTTCCCAGTCGGTCCTGACCGTGTTGGTCGAAAAAGAGCAGCGAGCAGAGGTCTAGAGTATCCTCGATCAAAGAAGGAGGTCGGAGCCAGACTATGGTCCCACCTTGGCTTTGCCTTCCGGTCGGGGACCGGATCGTTGTCCAGGCCTGTCATTATGTATCTGGGCCAGCCCTGATGCGTGTTGTCGCTGCGCTGCCTGCTGGGCCAGGTTTTGTTGGGAAGCAGGTCCATTGGGGACCACGGGTTTATAAACCCGATAGGAGCCCCCGAGCCCCTTTGGGACTTCTATAAAGTCGTGAAGGGGCTATTTACACTCGTTTCACGAGCACACCCGATGGGTGTAAGGTTGTGGGTCGTCGTCGGATGAGACAAAGCGTGAACCTGAGGCATCGAGCGAGACAGAGCCCGCGGCACGGCATTGGGGTCAGGCGTGACGGAGCCCGCGGCGCGGCCAAGGGGTCGGGTTAGACGGAGCGCGAACCCAAGGGTCAACCGAGACGGAGGTGAGCGTAGCCCCCGAGCCTGAGGGTCAACCGAGACGGAGGTGAGCGTAGCCCCCGAGCCTGCAACTAGCTGAAGAGTTGGTCGGAGGCTGAGCACATTGGTACTGTTTTCTGGGGCTACGAACTCCGGTTGGGGCGTTCGCCCGTGTCCGTTCTGACAGCAACCTGCGTGGTCGGTCAGGTTCCTAAGTAGGGACCTGGCAGCTCGAGCCCCCGAGCCCCGTTGGGCTCGGTAGGGGTCGGCTGAGTTTTATGCGTCATCCTGTCCATGGTTTCCGCAACCAGAGGGGTTGAACTAACAACACTTGCCTCGATGGCTCAAGTGTCGCGCTCGGCGAGCTCTCTAAAAGGCATGTTCGAGTGGAATACGGGTCCATCGTTCGTGACGGGGTTGGCATAGCCCTCATGTGGCATTACACTGCTCCTTAACCGGCATCCCGGCAGATGCCTAAGTCATTTCGGAAACCAACTCAGGTGGCCTGCGGGCCTCCCCTCGATGGAGATTCTGTGGGCTTGGCTCGAGGTTAGGATCAAACGAGAAGGTCGAGATGACTCTGTCTGCTTCTGAGGGGATCGGGCGAGGGCCTCTTGGGCTCATCTGTGTTTTCTCCTCTAGCTCTGTTTGACGCGAGGCAGCCTTGAGCCCTTTGCAGGCTGACCTTCGAACCCCGGTCAGTCGTCGGTCATATCGAATGAGACGACTACAGCTTCGAGACGCGACGTGAAGAGTTGTGATACAACAATTGCACATGCAATGCTTGGATGTATGGGATGAATGTATGGATGAATGTATGAGGATGGATGAAGAATGCTCATGCACTGGGAAAGTAGAATGGGGGTTGGTAAAGTTACATCGATGGCTCGAGTGACGGGTCTAGGGAGCTCCTATCGGATATGTTCGAGTGGGATCCGTGTCCATTGTTTGTGACGGCATCGGCATAACCCGCATGGGGCATCCCATGTAACACCTCTGGTGTTGCGAGCATGCTTAGCACCTAGGTTAATGCCTAATAGTAATTAGTAAAACAAGTTTTCGGGTTTAAAAGTTTAAAAAACAAGGAATTATAAATGAATCTTGTGTGACTCGCTTTCGTGAATAAAACAAGCAAATAAATGGTGAATGGCTTGTTTATTTGATTAAGCATGAAAAACAATTTTTATAAACAAAAATAAAATATAACTTGTAATTGGTACTTAAATAAAATTTGAAGTGCAAGTTTAGTAGATGAAAATGCAACTTTGGTTTTTGAAAACTAATATTGTTAACTAGGGTTTTTGCCAGCTCAAAAATCGAATTGGAAATTAAAATTAGCCCTTTTCGTTGAATCGGCAAAAATTTGAAGTTGTGTTGAAAGTATACTTTTTGGCGATTTATAAATGCAAAAATAGTTAAATAACGCCTGATGTTTTGTTCTATTGCTTGGTTTGATAGACGGTAGTGTGGACTTTAGATTGGAGGACTTGCTTGGGCCGCAATCGCGATCAATCGCAGCACTTGCTTAGCTTTTAAATTCGTGCGCATCACTACTCACCGTCGAACGGCTCGGCCTGCGGTCGCCGCGTGCACTACCTGCTAGCCGTCTGGCCAACGTGGTGCTCCGCCCACCGTACGAACCACCTACCAAGCCATGCTCGATGCCATCGCGTAGCCTGCTGCATCACGACATCGTGGTGCTGTGTGCGCGTGGCCGCACGCGGGCATGCTTTAATGCCTCTACCACTCTCGCTTTTGCGCACCCGAGGCGCCCGTTGTCATGCCCGCCCGTTGCTGGCCCCTTTTCCCCAACTCGCGAGCGCGTTCATGCCGCTCAGCCCCACGCTGGACCTGTTGCTCCACGGCGCTGCCCCTCCCAGGTGCCTCCTCTGCCGTCGTTCGGGCTGGGCCACCC